ACACATGTACCGTTGGAGAGCGTTTGGTAAGAACTGTTGAAGAAGGATCAAAGCGGCCATTCAAATCTTTGAAAGGCTTCAAACTACAACGTTCATCAAATTACATACTAAAAGAGTGATTGTGTCTGTCCTTGAGAACCAGAGAAAACGCGACAAATACGAACAAAAAATACTTTTCAAACTACATCGACCCATGGTGAAAGGAAAGAGAAACGGCCTAACTTTAAAGAATTTTCAGTGAAAATCCGCCGATTTCACCACCATATTGAAAATGAAACTACCACAGTGCAACGCAACCGGAGTGCGCACACCGCCTGGGTGCGACTTAAGTCATGTGACACGCACGAGCTGTTGAACTCAGATCTATTTCTGGCAGTAAAAGTGAAACTAAATAGCAAAGGCTCGTAATCAGGAAAAGTCGCGATAGGTTTGGAACTTCGAACCATGGACAGTGAAGATGTACTTGGCGATGATGGACGTAAAGCTTTGAATGCATGTGTTAAGGTTCGGACCTATTGTGTGGCACAACTTCAGGAATACGAACGGCAGACTGCGCTCGAGCGATTGAGGGGTTGTTATGGAGGTCCCTTTCCACGCGGATTTGGCTCGTGGCTTCTATTCGACCCACTCAAGATCTATGATGTTCGAAATGGACATAATATTTCGGAGGTAAAAAGATATAGTATCAATGTAATTTACGATGCACTTCTTAATTTTGACAAGGTGAAGTATGTCGAAAAATACCCTAATAAGGAAGACCCAAGAAGAGAATATTTGATTGCAACTATCGACAAACGAAGAGATAATGTCTCCAGAGAGATCGAGGAGGCCGAGGGTAACCCTGATGGACAACGCAAGTATTCTTGGATTGTAGCGCAGCGAATAGTGAGGGACTGCTTCGCTGGAAACTTTGCCGGTGATGTGGGGCTTCTGAAACAAAAGTTTGGAGAGAGGTACTCCATCATTGACATTTTTAACACCGTCAAAGCGATTGATGACGAAGGGCAACTCCTCAGATATCCCGAAGATAAAGGGGATGGATCCAAAGAATTAAAGAATGCAATTGAGGCAAACTGGGAAGAACTTACGAAGGAGTACGAGGATGCTATGGAAAACCCTTGTAGGCAACGTAAATATTCCCGCAGTGGGGCTGAACGTCGAGTAAGAGACTGTTTTGCAGGTACTCTAAAAGAAGATACTGATATCTTTCCAAATGTACGGAACAGCCGAGAGGCCACTTTCAATGTTTTTGACATAAAGTCTGCTATTGATAATTTTGATGAGAAAAAGCTGATTGACAAATACCCAAAACCGGGGCGAGGGGAAGACGAAAAGAGGAAAAACGTTGATGATCAAAGGGCTGGCATTCTGACGGAATATGAAAAAACCATCAAATTGGTAACGATAAGCTATGGAACTGGGTTTCTCATCGGCAATGGTTTGGCTATTACTAATGAACACGTGATCCGAAGATATCTTAATGATGAAGAGAGGTACGGACTCTTCGTTTCTAATGAACTCATTCACTGCCTGCCAACTGAAGTTGTTTTTGTTGATGATAAAAATGATTTAGCTTTACTACACTGTCCCAATCTTAATTTGAATGACACTGAAATTGGCTCATTTAATTTGTGTGGCGTAGACTTACTAGTAGGCCAGTCAGTTTTTTGTTTTGGCTACCCACCTACCCATAGGGGAGAAACAGCCCTTTTTGTGGAGGGAAAGGTCGCTGGGTACAAGAAAGAACTCCATAAAGAGCCACTGGTGACATTAAATTGCTCACTCAGGTCTGGTTGCTCAGGTGGTCCAGTTATGCGTAGGATCAAGGGTCAGATAGTGGTTCTTGGTGTTGTCAGAGAACTTCACAAACAAGACATTTTTGAAGAAAATGAAAGAAATTTCATGGAAAATATGAATAAGCAAGCAACTAATCTTTTGCTCCAAGTGGTTCTGAAATTCATAAAACCATTGATAAAACTTGTATTTAAACTGCACTATGCCTTGAATTCAACACATTCACCTTTTAACTTTATCAATGTTATACCAGCACGAAAGGTGAAGAAACTACTACAAGACATTGAGGTAAAGATGGCACGTGTCGCAGCACTGTAAACTGGGGTTAATTTGAATTAATTCTCTCCTTTGTTGAACAAAGCAGTACTTCATAAAGTGATACAAGTGTTAGTAACTTGTGACATGTTGTTACTGTGTAACATGAAAATAGGTGCCCTCTTTTGGTGGGGTTTTACCACGTTAGTTTTGTGCTGTTTGTAAGTACTGTAAGTAGGTGTCCTCTTTTGGTGGGGTTGTATTAACTTAGTTTTGTACTGTTTGTAAGTACTGTAAATGTAAAGTGCCCTCTTTTGGTGGTGTTTTATTAAGTTATTTTTGTACTGTTGGAGGGAAAAACAGTAGTAATCACAGTAATATTCACAACGCGTTTACGAGAGTTTTTTTTTTCCTGACAGCATTATGATTCAGCTGAACAGAAGTCTTTGTGATTTTAAATTACCAAATGGTACCTTTGAAAAAAATTGAGCTGAGATGTCTAGAAGATGTACTTTTTTCTGTAATGAGCATGGGTAACGTCTCCTACAAGATCCAACCTCAGATTTGAGGTTTGCTTGCTTGTGGAGAGCTTTTTTTTTCCTTTGTCCACAGCCTTGAGGAAACAAATACATGTAACACCACTGTTTATTCCACAACCAAGGCCAAAATTGTCATCTTTCTTATTCTATTTACTTAAATAAATTTACTGCTACACTTAAAAGTGTCTTAAGCACAGGGTAAATCAAAGGGTGCTGATTTCTATAGTAGTGACTCAAGCACAGGTTTTTGAAAATATTGTACTCAGTTTCAACAATAATAAAATTACCACATAACTTTTCTATATGCAAAATAGGAGGTGGTGTGACCGAGTGGATAGGGTGTTAGACTTGTAATCTGGTGGTACCAGGTTCAAGTCCTCCATCCTGCCATTCACTGGAATTGTTCACAGTCACCCCAAGTCTAACTCCTCGGCTGCACTGTGTAAATAGCCAACTGGTCTGCCTCCTGCCATTTGGGATTTTCAAGCACTTTATATTTATTTCAGTCATTGTAAAGTGCTATTGGATAGTGATGGAAATAGTACAATATAAATAAAGAATTATTATTAAGTATTTTAAAAATCTGTTTCTGTGTTTATGTGAAAGTGAAGTTCACCAGGGTTGAATTCTTCAGTGTATAGCTTGATAGAATTACACCCACATCCCCTTGCCACCTGTGTAGTGAACTTGATATCCTTCTACTACACTCACCATTTGCAACAACTTAAACAAAATTACTTCTGATCTTTTAAGGTATTAATATCTATTACATTCCAGTGCATAAAATTAGTAGGGATAACATTTCTAAGGGATCAAGTTTGCCAGTAGAATCTGTTCCCAGTCCCATAAAATGACTTTTATTGCTTACAGTACCTGTCAGCTCCAAATTCTTTAATTCGTTCTTCATCAACTCTGGAAGAGATGAACAAGTTACACAGTATTATTTCTAGATGGTTGAAGCTTTTTCCTTAGCAACTCAGTTTTAAGTTTTAAAGCTTCAAGAGTACAATAAGAAAATTGAGACATATCAAACTCATTTAAATCTTAACCTGAAATATTTTTGAAAAAGAAAAGAGGGAAAGAGGGTCCGCAATAGGGTTCTTCAATCTGGTAATTCTGACTAGAATTTTCTATCAATCCCATAATCCTTATGGTTTATACTGGCCAATTCTGATCCTGATCATGGATTTTTTCTCAGTCCATTGCCTCGACTTAAGAGAGCCTTTTCAGTGGGTAGTGATTTTCTCAACCAGCATTGATCCATTGTTGTCTTTGCTCACCATAAGGCATAAGTTTATCACTTTTCACCAAAATGATGATATTGTTAATTTTAAAAGCTGGAAAAGTTTGCACAATTACATGCACTAGTCATGGTAACCACTTCCTTCCATTTAACTTTGATCACTTATTAGTAAAGAGAGCTCAGTATCAAAGAACTAAATAACGATTTCAACAAGTGCATAAAACAACAAAAGGTGACAGCAATCCCATTGTTCCATAATGAGGGAAATAAAGGAAAACTATCTGAACACAATTCTGCTGTTGAAGCGAACACTTCTTCTGAAGCAGAACACTCTTCTGAGGAGAAAAACAGCAAGACTGAATTTCTCTCTGAGCAAGGTATGGCAGGAGAGTTCCAGATCTTGCCATCTTTGTTTCCTGTCTGACAGAGTGCTGATGCACTACTGCAACAAATCTTTGCACTCAGTCCCCCCCTTTCTGTACACTCTGTGGTGCCATTGGTACGGGTGGTAATCGTTGAATTATCAGTATGGCCAACAGGATCATGGCATGTCCAGGTCAGGATACCAAGAATTTGAATTCGTAAAATAATATGCCACCCAATGGGTTGTCTCTTTAAGCCTTGTTTGGCTGCATTTCCAAGGTTTCTTGCATAATCTAACATAATGCAAAGTGTATCTCTGTGATACACAATTAAGTGAGTAATCTCCATGTCTAGTGTAATCGTGCTTGTGGGGAGTAGTGAAATGCAATCCCCTAAAAATGATTGTGTGGGCTAGGCTTTTTTAGACTTTCATGGAATTTGCCCTTCTTGGTTTGTTTCAGTGATTATTTCCTGAATCCTGCCCCTCAAATCACCAATTCCCATGTCCTGTTCATGATAACAATTCCGCATTTAGCTCCCTTCTCATTCTAAAAAACCCAGAATTTAAATAAGCTCAATCCCAGATCCTGAAAAACCTATTGGGGACCCTCCACATAAGCACATAATTAAAGGGTCACTTTCTTGGGACTGCAACATGTCAACATATCTGTATAATTTCATAAAAGAGGTTGTGGTTATTCATCATGGTGAATAACAATAAAAGCTAAGTTTTTTCATTTGTCTCGTGATGTGGTCACATGTGATATAGATTGCAAAATTTTGACTGCATACTGCTAGTCTTCTTCAGGTGATGAGGTCGTGATCTTATAAAGTATGAATAACTCAGTGATTTGCTCCCTCAGTGGTCAGCGGACCACCAAGGTAGCAAATCACTGAGTGAAACCACAAGGATTGAATTGCACCATTCAGAGCTGTTGAAAAACAACTAATCACAGCTGAGCATCATGCTTTATAAGATCACACATGACCAGTCGACCTCATCACCTGAAGAAGACTAGCAATATGTAGTCGAAACATCGCAATCTATATCACACGTGACTACATCATGAGACAAATGGTAAAACTTAGCTTTTATTTTCATACCTGTATAAGCTGACAAGTAATTAGTTATTTTAGCCCATAATATTTACCTGTTGAAGACAAAGTTAAGCCATGTGTAGAATGACCTTTTGCCAATGCTTTCAGTTATTCCTTTGACAGCTACATTTCTCCAAGTTCTAAGTAACGTAGGATGCTTAAGAAACAATCAGTTTAAGGTTAGAAACTGTTGTCTTGGGTACATAAAGTTCTTCAGTACTTTTCACCAGTACTTTTTTCATAGAATATGCTATTTTAAGCATTAATAGTCCTAACTCATGATTTTGATTGTCCAAATTTTTGCATGAAGATGAAAGAATACAGCATCAGTATCATCCATGGTAGTGTCTCATACTGAAACTAGGGAGAGATTGTGTTGTGTGTAAAGGAAAAATGACAACTGTAAAGGGTAAATAAATATATGTGATTAAATCCTCAACTTACACATCAGTAATCTCCTAGTTAGATAAAGGATGAATGAAAAAAAATTATGTAGACAAATAAACTGCTGCATGATCATTGAATCCAACTGCCAATATTTTTTCCACTGCATGAGTATTTGAGGATCAAAGTATAGCAAGTCCCTTTCATGTACAAGTCTTGAGCCTTCTGATCCTCATATCTTTGTGTACTGTCACCCCAATAAAAGATCATATATTTTGATAGGTAAAATAAAATTATGCATGTTCCTTCCAGCTCTTTAGAGCTTGCAATTTGGCTAGTATAGCATGGTGTTATGTTACAGCTGTATGTGGGGTCACAAATATAGTTAACGTTTTCAAATGATATTCCTGAGGTAGCTATGAGAAAAATAAGCGCTAACTCGAAGAACCATAACTATTACCTACATTCATAACACAGAAGTGGAAACCCCTTGGATGCAGCGGACACGATTATACTTTTCTACAAGGCGTTCCTTGAGGATGGAAAAACAATGCAAATGAAGACTGGAATTAGTACGCCGCTGACCAAGGGACATCACGGTCCCTAGTAGACACGCGACCTAAGTAGTAGGAAGATGGCGACTGTGGCTGAGCTACAACGTGACTTAGAATTAGCGAGGGAAGGGCTGAAATCTGTCGATGAAAACATCAAGAAACTTACTGGTAGAGATCCTTCGGAGTTCAGGTAATGCAGGTGGTTTTTTAATGGACGTAATGAACAGCGAACATTGTTGTGCGAATAGTTTCCCTAAACTTAAATGCATCGAATAGTCATTGCTTCTGCCTGAATCTCTTTGTTTTCACCGTTCATTCATTCGTGGAGCTACTGTTTTTAAGAAGCTATAGGTTAATCACAATAAATGGTTACTTCCTTTATGTTACCAAAGGTTAGTATGTTTTCTGGATACAGGAAGTCGTAAGGAAATGTGAATTCAGCTGCAGCTGGTTGTCGAAAATAAACAGCTGCTGAAACCGTTGAATCATTTCCCCGTCCCGCGAGAGATGCAAACAGAAGTTTATCAGCCTTTAGACCATGATAATATCTCAAAGAGTGGCTATGTTTGGCACAAGCTTCCATGTAATCATTGTTAATGAAATTTACTTGAGCCAAAATTTGTCGATTAATTAAGTAAATTGCAGGAAAACCCATACACTTGACAACCTTTAGGCTACGTAACAGAGGTCTTGTTAGCCCCTCAAGTCCTAGATTTGTTTTATAAATCTCCCTTCTAGCTGCTAGAGTGCATGAGAATGTACTTTTATATCAAGTGAAAACTATCTACCAGATGTTTGTTAGATTCTTGGCCCTTCTGTGCTGGATGATAAACATGGATGTACACATAAAAAAAACCAAGTATTTCCCATGAGGAGTCAAACTGCAGCCTAATTCCTGATTTTGCTCTACAATTTTTTATCAATCAAGTTGCAGACAACTGATCGATCAGTATAGTTATCGGAGAAAAGCATCCTACACACAGTATTTGTAGGATCAGCAATATTAAAAGTGATTTATGTGTAGATAGTGTCAGAAGAATGATGAACCGTTTTAAAACAGAATGTGATGCTTTGACTCAGGCCAGCGGCAGGAAGGCGAGTGTCACTGAAGAGAGACTTCACAGAGAGGAACATTGGACTTGGACAAGGGCCGGCAGCTAAACGACGTGATTCAACTGGTGCACCGGGAAGGTAAGTCCAACCAAGGTACATCTACATGTATAAAGGGCTTTCAGTAAGAGTTGCTAGTCAGCCAGAACTGCAAGCTAGTCTGATATCTTAAGTCAGGAACTTTCACTTTGTTCTACCATGATTGCTATTGAAAAATTGTACAGTTTTGGAAGCATATAGCCATTTTCCAGTTATAAGTAGAATTAAGTGCCTTATTTACCAGTTACAGGTGTAGCCAAGTCTTAGGATTCCATGTTCAAAATGTACTTTGAGGTCTGTGTGAACTTTGGAATGCTTAGGACATCTTTGTTTCCCTAGTCTTGTGTTCAATCTGATTAACCAGCATGGCTTTCAATACAACCTGGCTGACTACTATTTCCAACCTGGCCTCTACTTCCAAACTTATTGACAGTGTTCTTCTCTAGAACTACATGAGTTATTTTTGTTGGAATATCAAAAGCAATATAGAATTGTACTGGTTTTGTACCACTTGGTTCTCTGGTAGGCCTTGAATATTTGTGTTATTTTAATGTAGCTTAAGATATGTATTTTTCTATCTTGGAAGGAAGAAAGATTATTATTATTATTATTATTATTATTGAATTATTATTATTATTGTTTTTAGTTACACTATTGTAATGTGGGTGATTCTGAAGGCCTTTTTCTGTTTATGCCTGCTAAGATAGTTTAGTTTGGAAATTTCCCATTAAATACAAATATATGTGAACTTGATTTAATTCCAGATATCTGTTTTATTTTTCAGACTCTGGAGCCGAGTGGTGAGAACAAGGACTTCACAAGAGCTGACCCGCCCTTCCTCACGTCTGGATAGTGAAGGCGAAGAAGATGAGGATGATGCAGATAAGGTAAATGTAAATGATCCTTTTTTGTTAAAGCCTGGAAGATTGAATCTCAAAAAGTCATCGTGATATTATCTTTTAATGCGGTGAGATTGTGATATTTTGATTTTGTTCAAAATTTGCAAAGCAATTTGCAAAATGATGTACTATGTGAAGGGAACTCCAAAACATTGATTTGGAAAGATAAGGAAAAAAGCTAATAGCAGACCAGAGGCAAAGAAAGGATTGGGATGGCATCAGCTAAAAAAGATGAAAACAGCTTTCAGCTCAAACAAAATATTCATGCTGGGTTTTTTTAAATTTTTTTTTTTTTGTTATCTTGTTAACACAATGTTTTTGTTTCGTGTAGCCTGCTATCCAGTCCTCAGTTGTAGCCACACCCACACCATCTCGCCTCAAGAGAGACGCCATCACAAAAACAGATGACAAAACAAAGTCAAGGTCAGTTGAAAATCACCAATTATTTGGCAATTGTTTAATGCTGTCAAGTTTTTTTTTCCTTGTTTATTTTTTGTGTTATTTTGTGAGTAAAAGTCATCATTTCTGTAAGGTGTGGGACTTCTAATTAGCTGATTGTGGTTCATTTTAGCTGATCTGAGACATCTGAACTTATTTGTTTCTTCTCAGAAATAAGAGAATGTTTGGCATGTTGCTTGGAACTCTACAAAGGTTCAAAGATGACAGTGCTCAGAAAACAGATAAGGTAATTTCATAAAATTTGCCAAATTTGAGATAAATATCTCTAACCAAAACACTCATGTTTTCATAGATAGTCAAGCTTTTTTATCGGTTATGGAGTGTAAAAGTGACTGTCATAAATTTATTATTTATTGAGAAAAAAATTGGTGTTGTTTTCATTCATTGCTTTACCTCCCCCCTAGCATCAGTATACATATTCTCTACACATTTCCTAAGATGCTGACAAGGAGAATATGTTTAACAATCAAGAGCTTCTTTAGTTGGTGATCATTTCCTCTATTCTTATGACCTTCATGTTTGATTCAGGGGTGATATTGTAAGGAGAAATTAGTTGCTAATCACTCCTGGGGGTTAAAAGGTCAATGTTTCCTCTTCAAAATGGCCAACAAACACATCCTAAATTTGTCCATAAGAAGAACAAAATAGGACAAACCAAATCTAACCTGGAAGGGATTTCTGCTGTTTTATTTTTGCCAGGAAATAAGGAGAGAGGAAATCAATAAAAAGCTTGAAGAAGCTGAACAGAAAGAGAAAGAAGAACTGTCATCTCAAAGAAAGGAGTTATTCACAGAAAGAAGAACAAAACAAGCAGCACTTAGATTGTTACAGAGAAAAGTTGATATGGCTGAATTGGTAGGAAAAGAAAAAAATCCTGTTCCAGACTTAAGACTTTTTTCAAGATTTGATCTCCCTGTAAATTTACAATGGTTAACTGGTTTTCTCCCTTGGCATATTGTAATACAGTCTTTTAAAGTTGACCACCTTGATGCTAGTCATCCAGATGAAAACACCTTTGCATCTTACTCAGTAATTGGCAGGTGTCCAAACCCTAATCTAAAGAAATCAATTGTTTTCCTTCTTTGCAGCAAGAAGAATGGGATAAACATGGTGAAAAATTAAGTCACTTTATCATGACCAAAGCCAACCCTCCCATCTTCTACCTTCCAGCCAAACACAATGATAAGACACAGAAACTCCTGGAGGAATCTACAAGAACTGTGAAAAGTAATCTTTTTGTTATTCTCCCATTATGATTTTCTCTCACTGGCCTTTCAGTCCCTTGTTTCAAGTAGGAGACACAATGGCATGACATTAGCAATCTGGGCTCCATATTTAGAGGGCCATGTCAGATATTAGGGTGTAGAGGGTTAAAGACCTCCTAGTTCTCCATGTCAAGAAGGCACTGCTTCAGTATCATACCCTAATTGGTTTGTGGAACTTAATTCCACCAACCCCTGTCTCCATTTTGAAGAATCAAAGAACAACATGTGGTGCAACCTGAACAGCACACTATGGTTTAGCTTTTTGTTGACTCTACAGTCACCACCAAACACTTACTGTTTAACTGTTGTTTTCAGGAGCAATGGCTAAAAGAAGAGCAGAAATAGAAGAGGAACAAGAACTAGAGGAAGAGCGAATGAAGAATGCCAGGTTGTCTGTATCTAATGAGGGTGAGATTGAGAGTAAGGGGGAGAGAGTTGAAAGCACAGACGGTGGTAGGGATGTGGAAATGAAAGAAGAGAGTCAGGAGGAAGTACCCGGGAGACAAAGAAAGAAAAGTGAGGGTAGAGATCCTGAGAATGGGGTTAAAGAGGAGAGGAATATTCAGGAAGAGAGACACGCTGTAGGGGTAGAAAACATGGAGGAAGATGTGGGAGAGATAGACTAGTTGTAAGTCAGATAAGAGAATGACTTTTTGAAGCTGAGCCGAGCTAAAAATACAAAAATGGAGGTTAGTTTCCCTTGCATACCATCCCTTTATGGTCAGAATTAATTAAAGTTAATTCCATTCTTTTGCACCACATGTCATATTCCCATCTGTTCTCTTTGGTTTTATTTTTTTATTGTTACTATTAATGCACACTGGAACATCTGTCTTACAAATTCACTTCATGCCTTTTCCTGGCTTGTCTACTAAACTTCGACTGACATTTCGTTAAAAATTTTCCCTTAAGTGACTAAAACTAATTAAAATTGATTTTCTAGTTCAAAGACTACTTGGAGTTAAATTGAAAAAAAAAGAACCAGGAGAAAAAGTAATTACACCCACAACACAAATAATGACTAAGGAATATTGTGACACAAAATTCTCTGGATCACAGAACAAGCCACACAGTGGCCATATAACTTGTCTCTAGATGCGGAAGATAGCATGCTTTGGGCTTCTTGGTTACAGAATTAGAAAGACTAGGTTCTTAGCTGTCACAGGAAATTTTTGGGTATAAATTGAACTGAGGGGATAAATGGATAGGAAGGCTGGCTTCTACAACTTAGCTCTCTAGGAGATTTCTGCAGCAGATTTGGTGAAATGTAAGGTGATCAATTATTCATGGTTGACTTATATCTTGTGGAATTTTACCCTTTGTTGTCCCTGTTTGCTCAGCTTATAGGAAGGCAGTATGCAAGCTTTGGAATGAATGTTGTAAGTGATTTCAAGTGGATTTTGTAGAGATTTTTAAAGAGGCAGACATAGAGAGAAAGAGAGACTTAGATTTGTGTAAGCATTTGTGGAAGCCTTTCAAATATTTCATTTTTGACTGTTCTATTTCTTTCAATTTTGAGTTCTAGCTTTTAGTGACATGCATTGTAAGTCACCTTAAGTTTACAGTTGTGAGTGTGTTTGTTTAAGAGGTGCAACCATCATCAATGTGACGCACTTCATTGAAGAGGACTTCCATCTTCGACCTTTTTGTGTTTGTTTTGTAATCTGGCTTATCAATAAAATCCTGTGTAATAATCCTTACCTTTTTTATGTTGAAAGACAATGTTGGATATTAGTATTAAAGGTTTGCAAAGTCATTTGCTTAATTCTTTTGAATGAAACTGTAATAAACTATTAATATTTAATTGTTGTCTTCTTGTGTTTGGAGATTGTCCTCCAGTCCCATCCTAACCTGTGAGAAGGTCTTTATTATTAGCACTGCGGCACAAGGGTTTCTTTTCCTACATGGAAGTTTGAGTCCTAACAGTTCTGGGGTAACTTCACAAGACAAGCTGTATAAATTGCAAAATAAAGCAACTTGCGTTAAGCAATTCTCAAATTATGACGCTGATGCTGACCAAATATTAGAAATTTGGGCGTGGAAAAATTTGTATGAAACATTGTGTTGTCAGCGGAACATACAAAAGGCCACCATGGCATTTAAATGCCTACTTGTATACTTGAGGTATCTCCGGACAAGTAAATCTCGAGACTCTCTGAACGCATTACAAGCTGAGGGACTTTGAGAACAAACTTGGTAGTCAATTACCACGCACAAAATATTAAAAAATATGTTAATAGTGGTGCCACATTGCGGAATAGCTTTCCTTGCGAGGCTCTGAGGTGCGCGGAATCCCTCGGGTCTTTCATACGGGAGGTCAGCAAAGCCCTCTATGGCCCGGCAGTCATTGATATTTACCGGTAGTGTAATTAATATTATTTAACCCTTGAGTAAAGCGACTTGACAAAAGGTCTGGAGTGAAGGGTTTAAGCCCTCTCCCCTAATTGTCTCCAGTCTTCGCCTGGGTGAGAAACGCGCCTACTGCAGCACTAATCATGATCATGATCATAAATGAACTCCCATTCCCAGGTCAGCATGCCCAGCAGTTTTCTCCATTTCCTTTCAGCCAAGGAAAAGAGTGCCAAAGTCACATGAAGGCATGGAAAATGGCTCACTCTGTACGTACTTCACACTCAGCTCAAAGGATTTAAAAAAAGAATCCTTCACAGTTATTCGCAGGCAGCTAAGGTCGTCGGGGAGAGGAAGGGAAGTTTAACGAAATAAAAGTTACTGGGTCATTGAGACGTAGATACCCCGTAAATTGGCTTCTTTAAAGGTAAAATTTCCGCACAGCCCCATACTATTGTTAAACAAATCTGTTTTCCCAATGGCAATGTATTGTGTATGTCATTGTTTTCTCTATCCAAGAACTGAATGCATAATGTAGTATGGGTCTGTGCGGAAATTTTACCCAAAACAGAGGTGGCCTGGAGCGAAATTTAAGACAAAATGGCGGAAGAACTGTCGAACATTTCTAGACTTATGTTGATCCAGAACTGTCAGTGAAATGAGTTGCACGAGTGCACACGCTTTCGACGTTAGGAAACAGTGCCTTGAGATTATCTCAGACATAACAAATAAACAGGAAGACTCGTCGGTAGACGATATAAACCTGGCAAGGAAATGGCTTCTCTACTATAGAGAGGTACCAACAAGACTTCAGGGAAAACTACCGCGGTAGGCCAGGCTATCTATCGGTAGGATCGTTGGAAATAGCGTCGATCTTAATTTTTAAGATCCCAAAAATGAACTGAAGGTTATGTTATTCTTGGCAGGTGTGGGTTGTCAGCTGTTAGCATGGCAGCGGAATTGATAAATTTAAAGAGAATAGTGGGTGATGACAATGTTGTATCATCTGCACAGAAACCGTACGAAGAGGAATTGAACAACTTACTGACATTGGCAAAATCCAGAGGTTTTTCTAATCAAGGAGAAATGTACTCGGCAGAAAATCTTGCTCATCTTGCTGAGGAGTTTTATGGTGTGAAATGCTCAGTCATAAGTAATGCATTCGAGGATCAACACTCCACTGTCTCTCAATTACTTAAGGGATCAGCTGTGCTTGTCCCGTATGATGCTGATAAGAACAATAAACCCTGTTTGGAGAATGGCCACCGTGCCCATTGGGCTTTGCTCACAGGTTGGTTTTGATTCTGAATTTATGTTCATTAAATCAGTGACACAACAAGATTACTACAACGTAAGTCTCAGTAGAAAACTAATATTTTCTTGTATTTTACACAGTACACTAGGCTTGATAAGCAAGACTTTTTTTAAACCCCAAATTCATTTTCCACCTTGACCAAGAATGTATAACATTCAGAAGAAATACTTTGAATATAGTTTTGGTATAGTAACTAACTTACTGACTCCTACAACTCCAAAACTTTTCCAATCTTGTTTCCTTTGTTTGATGATGTTGTTTCTTGAACAGAAAATTGCAAGCAATTAGTACCTGCAGTAGCAGAGATTTTGCAGGCCAGAAAAAAAATTAATAATTGCCATTTGGCACTATGGAACTCCTGCTGGTGTTAAGGGGGAAATTTTAAAAAACTTTTGCAAGTGATGAGCTTTGTAGCATAATTTGAAATATGTTATGTCCATTTATTTTATCACTTTCTGTGCAAGGGCAACCTTAAAATTTGTGACTTCAGTTATTCAATAAACTTAAGATAGAATGGCACTCACATTGGGCATTTATATTTTTCCTCTCAAAGGTGTCTTGTGTGAACTGTGCGACAACAGCATCGACTGGACATTGTTTGAGCAAGATGTTGATGTTCCCATGTTATTCTGTGTAAGTCCATTACAATCATTTGTCTTACCCCCTAATTGTAAACTGGGACATGTTTACTTTTGCGTCAAGCATGGTAAATCAAAGCACACAGTTGTTTGGACCCTTGAGAGTTTAAAGAGTAGTAATGCAAATCTTTTGGAACTAGATCCGAAACGAAGACTAGCTGGGAATTGCATTGTTCCCAGAGACGGCCTAAGGGTTGGACTGTGTCAGAAAATTGTACTTATGTCTGGAAAAAGTTAGAAAATTAAGTAGCAATAATAAGAATACACTGAACAAAGATATTAGATGTCAACAAATTTATTTACCAGTTCTGAGTATTGTTTGACCTAAAACAGTTCTATACTATAACAAGGAATTGAATAAAGTATTTTAATTTACAATATTCAGTATTTATATTTGAGTATTTGCAACGAAAAGGTCAAAACAAAGATTAAAGTAAAAAACCCCCAAAAAATGATATTTTAAAGGTATTTTTCTCACAGTTTAAACAATTGTGACCTTAGAATATCAGTGATCAGAAAACATTAACAAAATGCCTGGCATTGACAACCAACAGTTTGCCACTGAAGAAAAAAATTTCCCAATCATTGGTGGAGGAAGGGATGACTGTATTAAGCTGTAGTTTAATACTTTGCCAGGCCAAAAAGGTTCCCATTATAAGTTCTTTTAAATAAATGCTGGTGTCCTAAGGCTTTGTAACTAGTTTACTACAAAGTGATGACATGTTTTTTTTTTCCCTATAATTATGTGCATTGCTTTTCAACGTATAGCTCTAAATAACAAATACCCCAAAAATAAAATCAAAAACTCAATTTGAAAGTTAATTTTAAATTATTTCCAAAAAAGAAAATTATTGTAACCCTGAAATAGGCCAGCTATTCCTTCCTACTATTATATGGTTACTTATTTTCCCATCATTTATTCTGTTGCAAATTCCCATTGAAACAGACCTCTACTTTGATCAATTCCAGCTTGATGCTAACACTAAATCATTGATTCCCATGTCATTCACCTAACACAACCTTAGCAAAATCCTAATGTTTTGTCCATTTAAATTTCCAAAGTGAATATAGTTTAAGTACTTGCAATGCATCCACTGAAATGAACTTGCCCATGAGAAGCATACAATTCAGCCTGTACCTCTTTCCTTAACCTGCTGAGGCACAAAACTATTTGGGTACAAAAAGGTTTAATCTGTTGTCAGGAGCTGCTAAGTTTTAGGATGAATATACTAAAATTGTAACTTACTTGTCATTGCAGGTTGTGAGTGAATCATTTAGTGTCTCCCTGACGATATTTTTAATTGATTAGCATTAGACAAGCTATATTAAGATTTTAGAAGGCTTGTGTTTGGGTGTGGCTAACCAATCTGTTAGCAGCCATATTACTTTTGACCACACTACACGGCAAGTTCTCTTTATTGATCAAGCCAGCCACCATGTTGATAATACCTTGTCCTTTTTCACATGCTCCACTGCTTGTAGCAATTTTGATGAGAATTTTACTTGTTTTCTCTATCCTTTTATATCGCTCCACCAAAATTTGTTCTTTTTCTGCTTTTCCCCTCGTCAGGAGCTGCTCTCTGACTTTCTGTTTCCTGCGAAATTCTCGGCTGCACTGCTTGTTCCGCTCTCTTCTTTTTCTTTTCTTCTCTTCCTGTTTTCTCTGACATGAGAATTACAAGGAAAGGTTTACTTACAAGTGGAAGTCAGATGTTCAAACCCTTCAAAAAAGGGGTAAAATTTGCTTATGAATTGTATTTTGAGATTAGCAATGACATGTCCTGTTGGACAGATACATGTCTATTGATTAGCCATATATTTCTTCCTCAAATTATTAACAAGTCAAGTACCTTTCATTCAAAACAAAGAGACCTTGCCACACCCCCTTGTCATATATTACTGAGGAAAAACACCCAGAAGAACCTTAACGTGCTTTAAATAGTATATGAGGATTCTGAACAGTTTTGCCAGGATCTATAAAGCAAAACTTACTATATCGTCAGTTATGTCTCTGAGTTCTTGACTTGTTGATGAATTTGGTACAAAAGGAAAAGCTTCTCCTGCTTGAATACACTCCAAAGTCACCCCTCTTCCTGTGTCTGTATCATTTTGCCCAGTCCAAATAATGCTATCCCCAGGTTGTGCAACATTGTAGCTACTCATCACACCAGGTAAGGAAGACATGACTAGAGGCAGTGGTTCCAGAAATGTTCGAAAATTCTGAGCATCTTGAAAGTGCGGGCACTCATCTGTGCCACTTACTGGGAAGCCAGCATTTTGAGAATTAAAGTCACTGCCTCCTACTTCTTGCCAGTAACTCCCTGGCAAAGAATCATCACCCGATCCAATCTCACCTGATTAAAGAAGATGCAAGAAATAGTGTCGATCTCTTTGGCCCTCTTCAGGGTTTAAGTGATCTACCAAATAATGTGGCCAAATAAAAAATGTAAATTTCGAGGGCCAGTAAAAGTTAAGAAAAGATATCCAAATTGTTTTATGAGACGTTTTCAAAACGGACAGCGAGACATTGTGAAGTTATTCACACCTATTTTGGCCGTTATAATTCACACTTAATTTGGCCGTTGTGTTTTGCCATGATATACAAATGGTTGTCATGAATGATACGTTAAAAAATTTTTAGTCAATTATTAGATGGTTGGCCAAAGAATCTCACCAAGAAGCTGCAAAAGGTCCTTATTTTTGCTCAAGCGACTTGCCTCCAGTATTTCTTGGATTGAAGCCGATGGATGTTCTATTTGGTCTACATTGACAGAACTCGCTTCTTCCGATAATGCCTGATTATCAAACCACTGATACAAGCCTGTTACCCTTGGAACACTTTCGAAAAGAAATAAACAACACAATCACAATCAGCTTTCCATTTCGCAAAGTCAAGATAAAATTTTGCCACCTACGCACAAAATCGCTCCTACATCGCAGAACTGTAAGTAAGGTAGTGCCTCACTTACCATTCCTCATTCTTGTCATGTTCCGGTTTCATCTCAAGGTTAATTGGCCATTGGATGGAACTATTGGTCATTTCGTTGCCGATTTCGGCTGACGCTTCACCTCGCATCATGCAACTGTGCTCTGGCGAGGGTTTCAAATCAGTATCTAGCAAGCTTTCGCTTACATGAGAGCGAACCGAGGCTGGTAGAGATTCCATGCTATCCATGGCCGAATACCAGGGAAGCCTTTCAGAGCAGGTCTGGAAAACGTCTTTGAAATATACTTTGAAGAAGGTTCACCATGCGAATTTTATCCTCACCGTTGAATGACGTTGCTCATTTCAAATAGCGCGGCCCGCCTCCCGCCTTGACGTCAGGGCTGTCGTGGCAGCAGGTTAATTTGGCGCGAAAAAATTTTAATTGACAAATTTTGGTTCAAATATGGCAAGAAACTATGGCGTCGAAAGTATTCCCACTGAGGATCAAAGAGTTGAAGATGATTACATAGACGAACTTATCAGGAAGTACCTCAACAACGAGGACATGAATAGGTAAAGTTTCACGTTTGGTTTATTAGGTACTTCTGATTGGCTTAAGCACATACAGTCCTTGCAAAGTTTTGAAATTCTCGCGTGAGCGGAAAGAGAAATTCCTTACAATTTTTAACATTTCTTCTCCCTGTGCTCTTAAATATCATTTATTTTTAGTCAAATACTATCTTTTTCTGCGATATATTTCTAACGGTTTTTTTTTTTTTTTTTTTTTTTTTTTTTAACTCAACCACAAAGTTTTTACGAAGACACAAGTATTCCCTCACTAACCTCCCCTGAGACTGACAAATGGCTCGGAGAAGTGCTCCCACCAGACTTCAATAACAACCAGGATTTTTCCGTACCAGAACTCTTTATGTTGGAGGATGTGAGTAGTTTACCTGACATGTTCGACGATACGGGGTCCGACGAAGAAGTGCTGTCTATTTTGGACGAAATAATTATGAAGGACGAAAAGAAAACAGAAGGTAAACAAAACCGCGCAATCACGACGCGCGAGCAATTACATCATGCAATTACCCCGCAATCGTTCCATCTGTGTATTTTTTTTCATAAAAAGTTCTAACAGATTTTTGGTGAATAGTATATGGTTCAACTGAGTAATTTTAGTATAATTTCAATCTTTACCCTTTCAGTTGAATTTTATCACATTTAGGGTTTTAATGGATTGTAAAGCTGATTCTAAAAACATAGTCGTCCTCTTTCAGCAAAAGTTGTAGTATCAGGAGAGGTCAAACATGTTCAAACAACTCCAAAACTTGAGCGAAAAAGACACGCCAAAACACTTAATGGAGACCCAACATCACAGAACATGAAGAAAATAGTGAGTACACTGTCATAGCAAAAATGGAATTTGTGAAGCATGTTATTAGTTAGAGTAAATAGTACAAAGATTGCCATTCATACTCCCCTCCCTGTCAAAAGTCGTCATAAGATATAGCTTGTTTCTTTAAGTTTTTTGTTCCAGAATGAGCTAATGCTAAAAATAAATCTATTGTCCTCAATACTTAATTTTGCAAAACAACCTGCTCCTGTAGTCAAGCATGTCTCATCAACAAATATAGGCAGCCCTTTTTCTTTTGATTTGCTGGATATGCATTATTCAAGTGCCACCAACCTTTGATTTTATACTAACAATATGTAAAATCAAGTGTCCTAAAACATAATGATTTCAACTATATTTATCAGTAGTTTCCCACCCACTTTGCCTACAATCTAAATTAGTGGCTTGTTCCCCATAAGCATGAGAAAGTAAGAGGGGATGTTTAGTTTATCATATTCCACAAAATCTTACTGTTGAAGGGTTGTCTGAAGATGGAGAAGACTGTAATAAACTGTTTCTTTTTTTTTTCTAGGCAAATAGCATGATAAAATTGTTCTTAGTAAAAGCAACTTTTCATTTTTGTTCTGCCTTATAAATCTTTTTAAAACCCTACCTTTGTAACAAGATTTCAACCAAAGTTAAATACATTTTCCATTACCCTTTACATAATAAGCTCAGTTATGCACGCATTCTGATTGGTTGATGACGTAATCTTTGAAAAAATCTATTTGTTAATTAGTGCACAAATCAGAACCAAACATTTTACATTTCTTTACATTATTTCTAGCAAAGGACTTCAGTAGACAGGCGAGTACAACCTACTTGCAGAAGGCCAATAATCATGAAAAGCAGAACTAAAAGAAGGAATGTTGAAGAGTGAAATAATTCACATTGGTTCTTTTAATAACCTTTGAATATAATAAGCAAAAACTGCCAACTGCCTCCAGAGTCCTGATGTTATTAACTGCCAGCGTACGTTCTTTAATTTTTGGCTCATTTTTAAGCTGCTCTCTGAAACAAATCAAGATCATTTACAAGAACAAAACTTTCAAAGGACTAAATTAATACAAGCCAAGCTTAACCTTTTTTAAGGCATCTTATTTTTTTCAAATCCATTTATATTTTAGTTAGAGAAGCTGGAAATGAAATATTGTCACAAATTTCCTTTGATATTATTTGTGTTGAGTCACTACATATGAATTGCAAATGTTAATAAAATCTCCTTACTTTTATTTGCACTGTCTCTTTAATTTGAAGGGGGTAAATCAACAGTTAGGAATATAAAATGCAAGGAAATTCTTGAGCACTCTTTTCATTTCTAGATGTTTAACAGATGTGTCAATGCAAACCTAGGGAGGTAAAACAGTTCAAATTCTGATTACCAAAGAGAAACTGGGTAATAGAAAAATATTTTCTTGTTGCCATGGTCATAGGGGTTTTTGTAAAGCTCTTTTAAACAGAAATATAGTTTCCCTGTGGATAAACAAGAATTACTGTAGCAAGGATTTAGATCTAGAACATGAAATTTGAAACCCATGTGAACTGTCAAGCAGGAAAAGCTGAAAAATTATACACTTAATGTCTAGTATTGAATGAAACAGTTCTGTTTTCTGAGAGTAGCATTTTGTAAGTCTTAGCAAATGCTGAGACTTAAGCCTAAATTTTCTTTGTCTACAATTGCATCATCAGTGGCATTTAGTAAGGATTCTGCAAAAAAATTATTTACACCCTTCTTTCTTTGTAAGGAATTAGACAAATGATACACCAGTCTTGTAATAGTGACAATAATTAAAGTTATGATTCCTTTTCTTGTCTTGACCAGTCTTATGCAACAAAAGATGACGGAATGTCTTATCTCATTTGTTCAAAAGCCATTAGTGGTCTGGTTTATGACTTTAAAAGATCTACTTCAAGTCCATCTCCTGTCAAAACCCTGGTCAAAACCTAACCACACCTGTTCGAGAACAATACACACATTGTCAAAACAATACAATGGCCAAGAATTCACCATGCAAAACAAAATGGTTCTTAATTCATGATTCAAAGGTTGCATTTAAATGATAATAAATTGTTCTCTTGGACATATAAAGATCCCATCATCTTTAATCACAATTCACAAATAAATAAAATTAAATCACCATTCACAAGAAACAAAATTGCCCAATCACGCTTCACAAAAAAGTATTGGGGACCCTCTTGTAAGGTTGAGATGACTTCAGTTGGTGAACATCAGTCTAGGGGAAAAATAATTCTAACAGCTCTAGCAGTACATTGTGAGTATGATTTGGATGCAAGATAGATGATACACTGATCTGAATAGTCCATATTACAGTTGCCTCCTTGTCTGCCAAGCCTTTGAAGAGAAGTGAGGTTAAGGTTGACCTTGTTATGATACAAACGTTGCTGCTTTTCAAATGTAAATTACTTTGTTATCATGCTAACTAGATATTGGTCTCTATCACAACATGGTCACCTTCAGCCTCACTCCAAATCAAAGCCTTGGTAACTAAGTACACAACTGTAAAATGGCCTATTAAGCATCATGAGCGTAAGACTGAGTTTTAAAATGAATATTTTACTTCCAATAAATTCAACCAGAGAATTAAGAAATTATTACAGCTGGGATTCTTCCAGTGTTATGACATTATATACCTTTCAACTCATTATACAGTCCAAACTGAAATGAATTTATCTTTAAAAAAATATTTATTTTCTGATCCCTGATTCTCATGGCAGAAAATTAACATTAAATATAACATAATTTGAGCTTATTACACAAATTACATAAGACTTCAAAATTTACAGAATTATCCACACATCTCATGTATAATCCCAAGGTATTGGCTTCATGGTACCTTTGCACATAAAACAGATGTTTACTTTATATTTCAGACCTGTTAAGTACCAACAGTAAAAAAAAAATTACACACTCAAGTAGCATTAACCTCTTTAAGTCCTCGTCTAGAATCACTTAGGAATCCTAGCAACATGCCTGAATCTAGTAAATGTGCATCTTAGCATATTGGTTTATACATCTCAAACAAAGAGTACATATGCACAAAAATTTACAAAATATTTTTAATTTCAGCTTTAACAGTACAGTCTTTTATCAAGTCAGCAGAAAGTATTAAGTCTAAAAAGGATTTTGCAAATCTATTTTGATGAAAAGAGGGAGAAAAGACAGCCATAACAAATATTCTACATTGAGAAGTTCAAGTTTGCACAAGGACCTCGGGTCATTTTTTTGGTATTTTAGGGCAAGTAACTCTCACAGCTTGCCCTGTCATTAAAATATATCTCATTAAATAATAATAAAACTATTGAATGAATTATATTTTTTTTCAAGAAAAACTTTCCTCGATTCTTTTTACAAAATTACCTTTACTGTTAATTATCTTTAAGTTGTAGACATAAATATTTCAGAATTTTTTGTCTCATTATATCAAAGACATTAGCCATGTCAACAGTTGTACATGTTAAACCTATTAAGTAGTAAAATCATTTGCTTCTGACCCACATTTATTTTTTGCAGTTCAAATTTCTCCTTGTTTCAAACTGGTTAAATTTTTCTTTCTCGTTAATTCAGATCATGATTGAAAAATTTTTAAACTTAAAAAAATTGTACCCCAACATATTTTTACACCATTTAAAATCTAATACATTTAATCCAGCTGCTTTTATGTTAAAGGACAAATAACAGCAAATAATGTTCCTAAAGATCTTAAACTGACAATACGTCTTTGTCGTCTGTAGTATATTTTCCATGAGAAAGGTACTCGGATGTTACAAAGCAAGAGAACACAAGCACATCCTAAGATGAAGATGAAAAAACTAACACTAAATGGCACTCCACCTGTTTTAGAACGCTAGAAAGGAACACAATGAAAAGAATGAATTAATGCCATTATCATTAATAATAACTATTCAACAGTTTAGAACAATAAACCATTTACATAGGCCACTGCAGGATACAAGTGTAAAAGTTTTGCTTGATCTTTTTCAATTTTTTTCCTTACCAAACAACAAATCAAACCATTTTATTACTATGTAACAAAGCTGTTTGATTTAAATCAAAGTTTTACTATGATGGTATATAAAAGTAGGAAAATGCACACTCTTCCGAGAACTAATCAGATTGCCAAATTCATTAACCTGCCCTGTTAGAAAAAAAATTCCTTTATCATATATCTTTATCTTGTCACTAACCTGTTGTTGAGCCATGATCAAAATCTGTGTTTGCTTCCAGTTATGTATAAAATTAAAGATGGTTGGATATAGTGGGTGAATAACCTCTAACTCAGCCTGCATGAAAGACAAAGATATAACCTGAGTTATATCATAAATACACACTTCCTCCCTATTAAGGTCAAAATCTAAAAATGTATATAACTAACCTTTAGATCCTCACTAGGTGGATTAAATGTGCTAAAACAGTTTTTGTCAGGAATATCAGATTTCATCTCTTTTCCTCCCCACAGAGAAATTTTGTATGTAAATGGAATCTGACAAGAAAACATAAGAAAACATTTTAAACAGGGTCTCCCTATTTCTCAACCAGATGAAGAAAATATTTAATAATAAATAATAATAACAACAATAATACTGAATTTATATGGCACTATTTCTTGTAGCTCTATAGCACTAAATTCAAAATATATCTCCCAACTTCATTTCTTACTAATGATCATTTTTGATTTTTCTAAAATGTATTTTTTGTCTAGTGATCTCCCACCCTCCTCTTATTCCAGAATTACCCACAAACTATGTTTTACCAAGGGAGAAATTTTCTCACAGGTCTCATGCTTTCAATATCTCACACAGAGTTGTGACATTTCTCATATTGCAAACAAATCTGACTCACAGAAAATGATCTTATTGCTCAAACTGTTAACAAAAAATCAAAGTTATAGAATAGAATTTTTCACCTTCCTCTCTTGGTTTGCATAAGTGAAAATGCCCGCATCAAATAAAGAGGTATTTGCAGGAACAAGCTTGAAGCCTGACTTCAAAGAGGAGGACATGAGAGATGCCAAGTAGAGGACATCAACACCAGAACCTTTGGAATTTTCATCTGTTGAGATAGATTTACATTCACTTCAATAATTAAAATTAAACTTGTAAACTCCCTGAAGCAACTAACATGTAACCTCTCCCTATATATCTATACATAATTCAGAAAGTAATGAGAATTCTAAAACTCATCAGGTTCAAGTTGCCATCTTGACCTGACACCAAATTCTTTTAACTACTGTACAAGGAAATGTGACTAGATGTTAGAGGGGAGAATTAACAATCTGATCTTAAGGGTTGAGGGTTAAGTGATACCAGTAATACAGTGGGTGTATAACCCTTGCACACATGAGCAAAATTCTCACAAAGTTATGCTAATTGCCTTCCTATGTAAAAAAATTTATACCCTGAATCTTAGGGAGAAAAGTAAGCTGCAATTTTCAATAAATTTGTTACTAATCTGCTGTTTAAGTTGAAGACCTACCTGATAATGGATAAAGAATTTGTCTACTTCCTGAATGGAATGAGAAGAAAGCATCAAAACTGTGTTTAGAGGTCAACTCTCTGAAAACTCTACATTCTGGTTCTGCTGAGGAATGAAAATTATATTTAGATTTGCAACCTCAAATGTAGTCAAGACAGCTTTTTAACAACATGCATTACATAACTATGGTAATCAGAAAATTCCATGAATAAATTATTAATTTGACATCAACCAGCAATTCATCATTGACCGAATTTTCTCATTACAAAAGATATATTGGTCTAAAAAATCTTCATTTATACAATGTAAACACATTTTGTCAAGCTCAATACATCAGATGGCACCGTAAATAAATGAATAACAAAAGGAAACAAAAGATGCATCCTCTTTCATGGGGAGAATTAATTTTGATGTGATTTTATTCTCTCATTCAAAATTAATGTCCTGATTAGGTTCCAAAGAACACAAACACACAAAAAGAATCAACTGAACAGCACAAATAAGAGAAACCTGTAAACAAACCCGCTATAATTCTATATGTTCCTTTACTGGTGCGTCGAAGATTCGCTGTCAGATCGGTGTTCAGATCAACGCTGTTTGCAGTACCCATCCAACAATAGTTTCTAGTTCTTTCGACGATTGTGCGACCATCTGGATTCACGATGGTCAAGATGAAAAGATCAAAATTGTTAAGCAAATATCGGGTAAACTTTGCTCCGTGAGTTTCTCGTAGTAAGTCATAACCCTGAGTTATATTTTCTATTAAGTGGAACATACTTTGAACGGGGAGGAATTCGGCGGCATGTTCGCCATAGGAAAATAAAATTCTGGATCTGTTGTCTGACTTGCTTTTAGAAACAGAGTCGAGAGAGAAGTTCGAGACTCGAACAACGAACTGAGTAAGTCCCATACGTGAACGGTAACGCATCTGTACGTCCAAAAATTCAGAATATTTCGAGGAAACATGATGAAGACACTGATTCATCCTGGAAAGATTATGGTAGAAATCGTAGTTTGGAAGATACTCTTCCACTGATGGTCTTATATCAAAAATCATCCCTTTGGAAACACAAGTAACCAGAAAGAATGCCGCAACGATCAACCAGCTGGGAAAGTAAAGCAGGCTCATTTCTTGAATGAAACTCCTTGTAACGTTTACAAATCATCTAGACCATGATGATTAAACCTACACCGCTGATCTCGATCGTCGCAATGCCTGAGAGACAGATTTTACAGACAAATTTTAAAATTTAAGAGCTCAAAATGGTTCATAGCCCTTCATAATTTTGTTTTCCATGGCGTTAACCGCTGGTTAAAGTAAACTCCAGCGGTTGTCACGAAAGAAGTGTCACAGAGGCGTTACACCAACAGTAACGCAGTCGATCAAGTGAACTACAAATTAGTCAAACATCAACACTTGACAAGAACGTTAAAAAATGAAATGATGCATTTCAACACTTCTCTCGCGTTTTTGTTTATTCACCCATACAAAAACGGAAGAGTAAGGTGTTTTAATTGTTTTGAATATCGGAAACGGGGCATACAACCAGTGCAACTCAAAAACATTGCTTCAGAATCGTCATTGTTGACAGAATCAGGATTAGACATTTAAGGTGACATTACCGTTGTAAGAAATCGAGAAAATGAAAAACTGTTCACAATTCGTTTATCATCTCGAGCAGAGAGGCACTGTGGCCTATAAGAAACCGACTTAAACTTAGTAAAGAGCACTAAAAAATTAAATATAAAACAAAAAAAAAGAGAAAAAAGAAATACAAAAGCAAAAAAAAAAACTAAAAACAAAAATAAAAAAAAAAGAAAAAATAACCTCCGAGTATTAATATCCAAATCAAAGACCAGTAAAACGCCTCTTTAACTCATGAATACCAAGAACCTTAAGCCGAAAAAAATAAATGAAAACCGCAGTGGAAACCAACACCAAAGATTTTGAGTGTAGAAACTTAAAACCGATCTCACGAGCAGAACCGAAAACATAAAAACCCAATGGCTCCCTATCGTATGGAACCACTGACTACTACCCCATTTTTTTTATTACTGTCGGAATGTATAATTAAAATGACCAATGACAAGCTCGCATACAACAAGAAAGATTGAATAAATTGAAAACAGTCTCATTAAGACAGAATGCACACCCATGTTATGACAGAATAAATTGTAATATTTGTTTATAAAAAAATTACAAGTATTCAGAGATAATGTCATGTCTAAATATGAAAAGCATACAAATTGTATGAATTGGCATAACCATTTTCCCTATACATAATTTTTTTTTATTTTGCTTTCTTAATTTACAAATTCCTGCATATTTGTTTCAGCGATGAAAAAAAATTTGCTATACGATGCTTAGCGCGCAGCGCAATGTTTCAAATAATGTTCCCCAATATAATACATTATTTCTTATGAATTAAAAATTCGACAACCAGGCCTCGGTAATTGTTTTCCTGTCTTTGAATGTTTTATACATAGAAATAATTTATTACAAGCTTCAGCTAGTGCAACTTTTCTGTACGGAAGAGATAGAACCAGCGGGACAGTCCGAGGTCTTTACTGCAGCGCATAACGAGCTGTTACCTTGCCACATTCGTTTCGTTCTTCATAACAGTGTCTTTTGTTGTTGCCCTTTTGAAGTACATTCTTCAAATCTGTGAAAAATAGCCTAACATGAGATTTGCAAATATTTGTTAAGACCAACAAAGAATGGGGAAAGGGGAGGACCAGTCAAAGCTGGGATGGGTTCTGGGGTTTTTCGGAGCATTCAAGTCATCACTGAAACTACGGAACATGTTGAGGGTCAAATAACACCCCTTTTCACGCCCTGACTGGTTTTCGACCAAGTTTGCAAAGTTTACAAGATGGTACCCCATCCCTCCCCGGACTGTTTAGATGTATGCTCGAAAATATTAACTGTTATTTCATACTTAGGCATCTTTAAAAATAGTTGACTGGCACCATAGAAAATAATTTCCATTAAGTGTATGCCATAAAAAAATTAGAGATAGTGACTGTAAACACAGCAAGAAAATGAAACTCGCTATGACAACCAAACGGTCACCCACAGTTTCGCAAGTTACCACATGTACCTTGCATGTTGAAACTTGAATTGAAAGTCTCGTCTTCCGATGACGATTGCGACGAACAACTGTAATAGTCAGATGTCACCATGGGTGAATTACCCTTGCTGCTTGGGTCATGGCATTTAGAGCATTGAAAAGGGGCAGTTCCAGGACCCCTTGGACTTGCACACTCGTTACTTGTGTCCTTCATGTAATCTCTCCACGCTCCTCCGTGATGATTTCGTCTTTTACGTTGCCAAATAGGGTGGTCGGACACTATAGACATGATCTTAAGGAAAAAAAAATATTTTGTTATTATCTTCCGTTTCGTGTGAGTTTTTACAAATGCAAGATATGATACAATACAAACAAATTAAGGAAATTGGATGTATCAATAGTAAGATATTATGGAAAAGGCTAGAGAGCGCCTTATTGGACGTAATAACCTCAACCGTGAATGCGAGGCTATTTTGCTGAAACTTAAAACTGGTCGTAGTCTGCAAGACAAGGTCGGCTGAAGGGAGTGCATTCGTATCACGAAACCTTACAGCTGCTTTCATTGTGACAAACACCTTTGCGAGGAAGGGGACTTCCAATGAACAAACATTCACCTCCATAATAAGTGCGCCTCTTGCATAGTCCTTTTTTTACAATCAAATTTTATGTTAAATCTAGTTATGCGATGGTCTTTTTATGCTCCTTACGATGAAAATTACCTCATCACAAGTTAATCTACTGACTAGAGCACGATATCCAATCTTTCGCCAAAACATGTCCCTCTTTTGAAGGAAGCTAGGGTACATATCTCGCCAGTTCTTTCCCAAAGCCCACGGGAATATGTCGTACTTTTCTTCTTCTTCGTCTTCTTCCATATCGTTTGCTAAGTATCTATACAAAAAGAGACTTCTTTCAAAAGCGAGTGGTAGAAAGGAAACGTAAATAGCTTGTTTAATTTTGAATAACCATCTACTCACAGAGCTATGAAGAAATTCATTCTGTTAAATTCTCGACGAGCGAGTTCCGCTCTCCTGAAATAGGTGTAAACCATTGCCAGAAGATACTGAAAGAGGAAAGTTGAAGATAATTTAAGAATTTGAAATTTGTGTTAAAATAGGAAGCTACCTCTCCCCACTTTATTTTACCTTGTCTGATATTATTGCACAACTTTATTTTACCTTGTCTGATATTATTGCACAACTGTCCATCCACAAAAAATCTTGAATGACATCATCATCTGTATTATTGACGAAAAAATTAATAAAGTATCTTGCATTTGTAACCTAGTAAATGTACAAAATGGTTGAGTAATGTATGTGAAGGGGACTATCAAAAATTGCAGGACAAAATAAAAAAGTATATCGAAAAGTGTAGTGAACTCGATCTTGATAAACTCACCAAGAAGCTTAAAAAAGGCTGCCATATATGAATTCCGTCCGCAATATCCAGTGTACAACTGATTAACCCTCAGTTTCTTGCACAAACGCTGCCTCTCAGCTGGTGAATTCTCGCATTCACTGAAAGCTCTCCTTCGCTTGAGTACTACAGCCTCGGGCTTTGCTGTTGCAATTTTTTCAGTTCGTGGATGCTTGTATTTCGCGATCTCTGAATCAGCTTCAAAGCTCCCGATCTGGCGATATTTGGTGGAAATATGACCTCCCATCGTCTGGTATTTCTGAAGTTCTTCTTCTGATTCCCTTTCGACTTGTTTTGGCTTTTTCTCAGGACATGGAAAGCGATTTTTTCGCATAATTATACTAAAATTAAAAGAATAGCAACTGCGCTCATAAATCAGCGCAAGCAAGTTGCGTGCGAAACGACGAGTGTTTCCCGCCTATTTTATAATTCCCGCGGTGCGCGCGAGGAAGATAAACTTGGATACAGAATAATCACCATATATGATGTACCTACTAATCCAACATGGCGGATGATAGTGAGTTGACTTCAACGCTCACATACCCTACAAAAAAGACTTTATTTCCAATACAACGATCTGAACTAAATTCAGATGGGGCTTCCCATGGCCTCCTTTTCCCTTGTGTTTCAGGGAAAGAAGTAGCTGAAGATGGTGTCAAAGGTGGGTCGAATGCATGTACGCTAGAGAAAAGCTGCTATTTCGCGTATCTGAAAGAAAAACTGGCTGCAGGAAATTTTCAAAAATGGACCTATATAAAGAACACACACCATATGTTCGTGTATCCTGTGTCTCTATAAATGAAGGATAATGATAAAACGCAAACAATATTAACTGTATTTTTTCTGCAGGTGTAAATCAACCAAATTGGCTTCGAAATGAAAGCTACAAAGCCGTCATTGAGCATCGAAATACTTTTACGGAGCAACATGAGCCTGCAGACCAAGGGGGCAAACGTGTACATTCAGACATTTCTAGTTCAGATGACGAAGGGGGACTCCATTCCAGCAAGGAAATAAAAGTAGAAGGTTCTGATATTGACCATAAAGAACGAAAGCACCACAAGGACAAGAGGAAACACAAACATAAAAAGAAACGAAAACATAGACATGAAAAATCAGGGCCTAAAGAGTGTATTAATGAAGATGCAAGCAAACCTGATACAATTTGGATCGAAGAAGCTCAACTTGTCCCTGAGAAAGCCTTTAGACTTCACAAAAAACCTGATATGGCCAATCGAATGTATGACACACTCTATAGGTTAGATATTGCTTTGTATAAATTGAAGTCAAATGCGACTTGTCTTGGTCTTGGTAAACATCAAGTTGTTGAGCTGTCTGTAAAGAAAGGTAAGAAAAAGAGGAAGCGGGATCAGATGGTAAGATATTGGAGTATAAAGGACTTCCAGGTACCAGAGAACACTGACAACATTTCTGTGATGTTGCAAAGTGCTGTGGATATGTCAAGCCAGAGAGTTGACTTGGGTGATGGTAGAAGTTATATATCCCTCAAGTTACCTGGTGAAGGTGATGTAAGCCAAAGGGAAAGCAGTCACACTTCTTCACAAGAGGCATCAGTGGCTGATAGAGATTCTAGAGAATCTGAAGTCTTGCAAAAGACTGGAGAACTAAACAAGATCTTGCGTGACAAACCACATGACATTCAAACATGGCTATCTCTTGTTGATCTTCAAGAAGAGGTTGTAAGACAAGAAGACTCAGTAAAATCAAGTTTCACAGCAACTGGTAGAGAAAGGAGAAAAGCTTCCACTAGAACCATAATTGAAAAGAAAATTGCTGTCCTTGAAAAAGCTTTGCAAAAAAATCCAAACTCAGTTGAACTGATAGTTGGTCATTTAAATCTGTGTAACGAGATCTTGGATACTGAGGAATTGGTTCAGAAATGGAAGAAAGTCAGTTTTGTTCACCCAAACAATACTCTGTTATGGAAAAACTATATACTTTTTATGCAATCCAGATTCTCAGTGTTCTCATTTAGTAAGACAGCAGCAGTGTATGGTAAATGTTTAAGTACATTGTCATCTATAAAGGAGGGAACTTTTGCATCACACCAGGCTGAAGGTGACTTGGAGAGTGAAATGGTGGACTTGTTTATCAGGGAATGCCAATTTACAAAGCAGTCAGGTAAGCAGGTTAAATGGCTACAGTATAGACTTGAAAAATGGAGCTCCATATCTTTCTTTTTGTTAACCCTTAATAAATCCTAGAAGTGATTAACTAGTAACTTCTCCCTACAATGTCCATACATTATCCAGCAAATGGGTAAAGAGAAAACTCAAACTTATTAGGAAGAAGTTGTTATCTTGATTTAACACTAAATTCTTGTAACTGGTGTAAAAGGAAATTTATAGAAGCTAGAGGGGAGAATTAACAAACAGATTTTGCACCCAAGGAAATGTATAGAGAACAAGGTCCAGTTGTCCTAAAGGCCATAAGCACTAACTCAGGATTAAATTTGAATCCAGGTTTCTTTATTTCTTCACTCAAATGCCTTTTTAGGACAATTTTCTCTATACTTTTTAGTGCAACCCATCATCAAATTGTAGACAAAAATAATTAAACTGAATCTTCTTTTTAAGTTTCCAGATCTGAAAACAGATTTCACACCAACCTTGGGTTATTGTAACCCAGCTTTGAACATCACAGCCCAGTATGAGAATATATATACTGATGTTAGGGTGTTAAGGGCTAACCCTATCCAATCTTGTAACAAATAAAAGTGATAAGATCAACCACAATTTACTTACAAGGCTTCTAAATACTTACATTCCTATTTTTCTTTGGAAGGACACATAGAAAAGGCTGTAGCCTGCCTGCAGGCCATGGTGGAACTGAATTGTTTTTGTTCACCAGAATTGGAAAGGAACACCCCCATTACTGGGCAGATGGCGTTTTTGGAGACATTTTGGGACAGTGGACAGCCAAGGTGTAGTTTGTTTACTGAATCAATCTCAAATTTTCGCATTAAAATTGACTGGCTTAGCTGTTCCTTCCTTGCTAAGGATTACATTAGTAAGGATTGTCCTTCAACATCAATCTATTTTTATCAAGGTCTACAAGTTTTCAAAATTGTATCAACTGTTCTGAGAGGATATATTAACAAAAACTCCTTGAGATTATGCTCATTAATTTTGAATTAACAGTTTGACCTGAGCCACTTCTCACTAGTGGTGAGCCTTAAAGAGGAGACTACATCTTGCCCAGCATTGCAACCTAAAATCGTTCTTATTTATGCAAGTTCTACAAACAAAACAATATTCTGAAAAGGTGCTTTGACAAAGTCAAAAATTTTAGTCTTGAATTTAATTTCCAAAGAAAGTTGGTATTTTTTTCCAAGATCTCCAATTTGTTATTGATTTAAGCAGGAATTTTCTGTCAACCAATTGAATTTATTTTGTTTTTCCCAAGTAGTCATGTCTTAGAATTCAACTTGTGGGTTTCTGATTTTTCTTTTGTTTTTTTTCCTATTTAAATCTATTTTTTGAAATCCTTACCTTAGGTTTGGGGAAGATGGTGCAAGTGGTTGGAAGTCATGGTTGGCTCAAGGAAATAGCACTGATTCATCTAAAGTGACATTTATTGATGTCAAGAAGACTTTCAGGGAAAGCTCTGGTAAAGCAGTAGATGAGAGTGATTCTCATAATGATAATGATGATGACTTCACCATTGATAAAGAGCAGCCTCTGTGGAGAAGTTGGCTTCAAATTGAATTAAACAGGCAAAGGAGACATTTGTGTCCATGGGAACCAGATAAGGAAGCAGGGGAAACAGAGGAGGACTGTGATGATGCTGAGAGACTTGTTTTGTTTGACGACTTTAGTTCAAGTTTGTTCAAAATTTCTGATCCTGGGAACAGGCTGAAGCTTGTGTTAACTTTCTTAAATCTGCTTGGAGTATTGGTACCTTGCATAACCTCATCAACAAACACTGATGTACATCAATTCTTGAACACTTCTATAGAGCACAAGTCACAATTACTAGAAACTGGAAGACCTGCCATTTCTCATTGCCTTGGTTTGTGGCAGTCATGCTATTGGGATGAGGTCACCTTTACTAATACAAGTGACCTTCAGTGGCCATCTTCAGAGGCTTTGAATCTTATAAGGAACATCTTTGTACAAAGTTTGCCAGTATTTGAAGGGCCAACAAGGAGCTTCTTAATGGTATTGTGGCTCTGGTTTGAGTTTGGTCTAACTCAGAAAGAGCCATTGTCAAAACAAAGTAAAAAGAGGTACAAAGATGTCAGAAAATTGGCTAAGAGCCTTCTGAAACAACCAGAAAGCAGGTTTGCTGATGAATTTTTAGAATATGATTTGTTTTTAAGGTAGTTTTAATAAAAGCTATATAACCATAAATGCCACTTTTGGTTAACTGCAGAAATGATCTGAAGCTGTGGCAAGCTTTTGCAGAGATAGAGTGGTTATCAGGCAACAAAGAAGAAGCCCGCAGAGTGTTTGACTCCACTCTTTTGATGGCAGGTGAAATGTTTCCTGAGGAACAGAGCAGAAGGATGGCTTTAGTACCTCTTGTCAGGTTTGACAAAACTGTTACATTTAAATAATGAAGCTATGTTTTTTCATTTTTCTGTGAAGTTTATTCAAACTTCTTTGTCATCCTTTTTTTTAGGTCCTATGTTGAGCTTGAAGTTGGCATCACATTGAACTCAAAAGAAGACCAGTCAAGTGAAGGAAGCAAGAAAGCATTACAGATCTTGACCTCATTTGCAGAAGGAGCAAGGATCAAAATGTCTGCGTCTGATGTGTCAACTTCAGATCTATCTTCTGTTCAACTACTGAAAGCTCGCAGAATCTACCAGAAGTTGCGGCAAAACATCTTAGAAACAACTGGACCCCAAGGCAGCAATGAGTTATTGGCTGAGCAAAGTAAAGCCACAGGAAGTGATGTAGTGCATTTAGAAGCTTGCATCGCTTTGTTTGAGTACTTGAGCAGTGGTATCCAAAGTTTGTTATCCATGTGTAATGAATTCATTTCACTGATATCATGTGGTGTATCAAGCCCATCTGGTCTTAGAGAGATGGACATTGAACTCATCTTGACTTTTTATGTCAAATTGTTTAAATTTCACAGCAAATTGGGCCAAACTCTTCCACTGAAAGACATACGACACATTGCACTTTTTGGGCTGGAAAGGTTTCCGGATAACCCCAAGTTCTTGTCTTTTTACATTGAGAGAGAATCAAAGTCTATTCTCACTGGAGAATTAAGAAGGACACTTGACAGAACCACCTTAAAAGCTGAGACACCAGTGCCTTGGATTTTTGCGCTGTATTATGAGCAATTGCGTGCAGAGTCCCTTGTCTCTGTCATGGAATGTACTGATTCACCCTCTCTAGGTGCTGCAGCTGTGACGTCCCTTCCAGTTACAGGTGTGGTTCATCGTCAGTATGCACTGTTTGAAAGAGCAGTGAGCAGTTCCTCTGGAAGACATTGTGTGGCTTTGTGGAGGATGTACATGGAATTTGAGGCATGTAGAAACATCTGCAGCTACTGCTCTTTGTTTTATAAATTTTTTGTCAAATATTACAGTCAGATGACCAATTGTCCAAGTTTGATTTGTTCAGTGTAAGGGTGATTTTATTGAGTCTAACAGCAGATTTATTGATTGTTCCCAGGATCAGTAAAAGACAACATACAAAATCCTTTTGTTAGGTTGAGAATCAATAGCATTAAGATTGTGTTACTGACTTGTAGAATAATACTTTAAAAATATAATAACTTAAAAGTAATCTGTTGTAGTTTTGGCATAACCAGACAATGATAGCTTGTTAAATGCAAACTCTTTAAAATTTCTTCTAGGCAAAACATCAAAAGGAGAAGGTAAAGTCAGTGTTCTATCAAGCCATACAGAACTGTCCCTGGGCTAAGGTAAATAAAACTAAGTCATGCAGTAACATTATTGAATAAATGTAGTATCTCTTATAATAATGTCCATGAAAAAATGATGGGCCTCTGATTACCTGAAAACAAGGGCAAAGTTGTAACGCAAGTGCAAAGTTGTGACACTAGTGCAAATTACAAATAGCACATGTATGCTTTAAAAAAATTCACCTGTCTTGACTTCCTGTGATGTACACTATTAAAAAGAAATAACATGATTTCTCTTGCAATATAGTGTAATAAGCACTACGGGCTTGTGCAATTTTGTTGTCTTTGAAAATTTACTCATGCTTATTCACACCAAATTGCACTTGAAATCTTATAATTACCTAGTAAACTTAAAATAATCAAGTGTATGAATCACTCTCTCTGAGGCTCAGTGGGAGACACGGTGGCCTAGTGGTTGATGCACTGGACTCTGGGTCAAGAGGCCTGGGTTTGGGATGTGGCCAGGTATTTATGTTGTGTTCTTAGGGAAAACACACAACCCTTACAGTGTGGAATGCTGGTGGGTAATGTTTTGATGAACTGGCATCCCATCTAGGGAGGAGTGGTAATACTCCTACTCACTTCATGCTTAGGAAAATGGGATAAGTTCTAGCTGGATGGGCCTCATGACTCAAGTACAGACCAATTTTTTACCTATTTGGATTGCCACTCATTTTGTTATGTTACCTGTCTCCCCCTTCCAATCTTGTCAATTGCCAGTTTGTACCTAGTATTTCAAAACAAACATGTAGAAGGGCAAGGAAGGAACCAAGTGTCCCAACTTGTGATCTGCACCTCACTTAGAAGGACACCTAACCATAGATCTGGAACTGGCTGGGGTTCAAATTGTCAATGCTTGTGATTCTTAATATCTTTTGTTATCATAATGATTATATTTGTCTGTTGTAACTCTCCCAATACAGAAAAGCATAATATTTTTATTTCTTTTTTTTTATAACTGATCATCTAGTGTATGGGATTAGAATATGTGACTCAACACTGTGGATTTTACTTATGGAATATAATAAGAGACTTCAAAGGCAAGATTTGTATAAATTATCATTTTTCAGACTTTGTACATGGATGCCGCACAGCTTCTACCAGATGATTTGCAAGACATAGTTGATTTAATGGTTGAGAAGGAAATTAGAGTGCGTGCTCCACTCGAAGAGATTGAGCTCCTCATGCAAGAGTAATGTGGGATGGTTGAGGTACAATATCCTTACATTATCCAGCAAACAGATAATGAGAATACTCAAACGTATCTTGATCTAACACCAAATTCTGGTAACTAATTTTTAAGGCAATGTGTAGCAGCCAGTGGGGAGAGTTAACAGGTTAATACCTCCTTGGAAACAACAGTTTACTTCATGTGGCACAAGGGATTTTCATGAAAATGTTTAGCCCTGTTCCATAATTTGCTTACAGCAACAATTATTTTGAATTCACTAACACTTTGCTCTCATGATGCAAGAGTGACTAGCATCTAATTTCTCCTCACAACATTACTCCTGTATCAAACATTAAGGTCATGAGAATAAAGGAAATGGTCAAGATTCTCTTGATTCTCACAAAAACTTTCTTGTCAGCACCTCAGGAAAATTAAAGAGAATAGCATGAAGAGTGTGCATAGTGATGTTGGGGTGTAAAGGGTTCACATTCCAGCAGTAAAGACATTATTTCTCACTTTTTATATTAAGTATCTTTCTAACAAAAAATAGTCATCAGAAGACACAAGTGTAAATATGTTTTCATTTTATATTCAAAGCTATGCTAAGAAAAAAGTTACCTATGTAAAAAATCATAGCAAATGTCTCTTACGATATATAATACATTTGTGTTTTTTTTCATGCTCCTTAATGACCATCAGATGAAAATGTACAAGCTATTTATAAATATTTACATCATTAACAGTTTAGACTGTTTACAACTAGTATATGATTGTACAAAATCTTAATTGTCTCTATTTGAACTGGACTGTATATCATTTTATATCATGAGTGTAACCTGTCAATAGAACATCATTCAATGCAGCCTAAAGTCAAGAGAAAACGCTGATTGAATTATGAGTCAGTTATAAGTTGCTACTCTTTGAAGAGTTTTCTTTGAATACAAATCAAATATTTACTGTCGGTATTTTGGGAAATAGTTAATAATGATTAGTATATACTACAAAAGATAATAGTGTTGAAGGCACACTCTCTGATTAGCGACTCAAATTCCCAATATACTCTGCTATTCACCTCCCAGCCACACATGCAGGATTTTAGCCAGAAAACATTGTAACCATTGCAGTAATAAATGAGTTAAAATTATATTCTTGTACTATATTATCTCACTGTTGAAGTTTACACTAAAACAACAGTTCAACTCAGTGTTGGTAGCTAGCTGTGGATATTTGTCTCATCGCTTTGCAGCTCAGTAAATATCCACCAGTAGCCACCTATACTTTGATACATTGCAACATTTTTTACGTCTTGGGGATATCATAAGCCTTACTTAACCTTGCATCAGCTGATCTACTGAAATTGTTTCATGTTTAGTTCCATTTCTTTGAGTTTTTTTAAGGATCAAATTTCAAGTGCAATACTGATAATATTTTTGTTGTGTCATTAGGAACTTGAAGGATCACAAAAATGCAATACAGCAAAATAACCATCGACAGATATTTCATTTTCGTGTACTCATTACCAAACATTCAAACGTGAGGGTTTTCAAAAATAATTAATTGTCCTTGCAAAACCATATGCAACAAATTAAGGATACTCCATCACTTGAGCAAATAACTGTAAAATAGTTGAAAATATTGGGTAAACTTCAACTTGTTTAAAAAAATGGGAAGCAAATTCTAATAAATTATACAAGAAATAAAAACAAACAACAGCTATTTTTTTGTAAGAATTTTCTTGCTTCTTCCATTTTTAATCAAGTGAAATTTGATGGTCGCATGCAAGTATTTATGATCTGTACCACTTGTACAGGCACCACCATACGATATAATATGTTCCATATTATATCTTATGGTAAATAAATCAAGATGGCTGTCTCCTGTTTCTGCTATACACACATAATGATGCTTGCTCCCAATAAATTCAACAAATCTCAAATTTACACAACATTGACAACCTTGCCTGAAATTGGAAGGGTGCTTTACCCTTTAACTTCCAGTGATCAAGACAGAATTTCTCCTAACAATATCAAAACAACATCAATCACACTTATAATGAGAATACAGAAAAACATCAATTGGGGATCATCGTTTGATCCAATACCAAATTCTCAGAGCTAACATCATTAAAGTTGTACAGCAGATAGTAAGGAGAATTACTTATGAGATCATCAGCATGAAAGGGTTAAATGCGGCAGTTTAATTGACAGACACTGACAGATCATTTTTTACAATCCCTGTGTCTGACTCTGTACCCACGGTTAAATTCCCATGATCACTGACCATAGTATGCATTTCATCTGCAGTTTGAGTGCCACTGCTCTCTGTGACAACAGCTTGTGTTGCATAAGCATGCACACCAGAGTTTATATCCTGGTGCACCTGAACTGCAGCCAAGGACAGAGACCCAGGAAGAGCCTGCTGAGTTATATCACTTGCCTCTCCAGACAGATGGGTGTGTCCTGACCCTTGTTCTGTGCCACTCTCTGAGAGGTTAGACACAGTCACCAGCCCAGAGTTAGGTGATGCATACACACTGTACATGACTGGGATTTGGCTTGCTTGGGAAGATGTCAGCATCATGGAAGAAGGGATGGCATTTCCAAGGGAGACACTCCCATCTTGATTGGTTGCTATGGGGACCACGACTGTTCCAACTGACTGCAAGTTGTTGGCCTGTGAGCCAGATGACTGGTCAACATTATTATCGTGGGTCTGGCCTGCATCCTGAACAATTGGCAAGGTGATGGTGTTTGAGGCTGTTGTGGTGTTTACTGGGTTAACTTGCACTGTCTGAGTCTGAGGCTGCTGTACTCGCTGGATCTGCACAGCAGGCTGTGCAAGCACCTGTTATGACCAGAAGTACTCTTCAATATATCATCAAGAATAATTACTTATCAAACCCCTAAATTGGTACATGCACTATGATTGGTAAATTCAGCAGGCTTTATTTCACTTTGTGGCATGCTAAATTGATTAGTTTGTTTGACCAGAAATATTCCCATTCTACTTGAACCCAGAGATAAAATAAATATCCTACTAGCCTTGTTTTCTTGGTGTGAACTATAAGATACGGAAACTTTCTTTTTTTTACTTTTGCCTAGATTTATGGCTGGCTCACTTTATGCTTTGCAGAGACTGAAGAAACAATTAATAGCTTATTCTCAGTGGGCCTTAAAAACTACTAGCAGAGTGCATCCTGCTATCAATAAATTAACTCAGCCTGTTTTCAACTCTCTCAAGTAAATTATGATAAAAGCCTTAAGTGCACTTTTCCTGGAGTACAACATAGGACACAAATCCTTTCTTTCTGTGTGAATGAAAAAAGTAGGAGTATGTAGCTAGCATGTGGATAGCAAAAGTTCTACATACATGAACATACAAAACTGAAGTAACTGCCAAAACAAACCAAACTATGTATTGGCTAACAACATTACAAGATGCTGTGTCACTGAACATATCAGTAATACCCTTCATACTAACAATTTACGACAAGTGTTATGATATTAGATTTAATTTGTTAATTGATATAAGTATCAAACCATTCAATCATTTTTATTCTGCTGATTCAGAAATGCTCTTAACCCTTTAACTCCCATGAGTGACCAGGACAGAATTTCTCCTTACAATATCAATGTGATATCAAGCCAACGAGTGATGAGAATGAAGAAAAATATCAGTTTGAGGATTATAAGATGATCCAATACCAAATTCTCCAAACTAACATCACAAGAACTGTATGGAAGATAGTAAGGAGATTTAATAATAAGATCTTGGGAGTTAAACAGTTAATTATATTTAGGATTCCTAACCAATCCATATGACTCTTTATCAACTTCAAGTTCAGTTTCAATAAATCTATGACCAGGTTTAATTAACAAATTGCTTCTTTAACAATCCCTTAACTCAAACTAACCATACACAGCATGTGTACAAAAAAATTATAACATTTGAAAACAAAGTCACCCTGAGCTTGAAAGAGGTTTGGTATTTTGTAACCTCCTTTGAAATCCATGTTCACATTTCAGTGAGAGAGAAACTGCAGACATATGTTTAGAGATGCTTTGAAATTCTTACTCTGATACCATGATCTGATGATGGAAAATGGTAAGCTTTTTCCCTCAGAAGGAAACATCATTTTGTTGGCTACCCAAAAAAGGGAACTTTACTTTGAATGAACCACAAAAATTTCAAGTGAATGAAACAAACAAATGTTAAACTCTTAAGATTCCAAACACCAAACTGTCCCACTGTGCCCAATTATTAACCTCCGAATAAGGAGTAAGATGACAAAGCATTCTGCATACTTTATTGCCTTATGATTAATGTACTGACATTCAAAAAACAACAAATATTTTGACCAAAACTGTCATAACACGACTAACTTGATGTTGACTTTTGTTAAATGGAACTCAACCTTATCTTCCACAAGACCATTCTTGCATAATTATTTTCAATCCAGTGATTTTGGTGGGCAGATAAACATAATTCTTTGTTACAGTCTCAAATGCACACATAATCAAATGCAGTTTAATTCTCAAATCATACAGCAGTTTCTGACAATAGATTTGCCTCAATCTTTACAATGTTCAGCCACTTGTTTGCAAATGATTCTATGGCTAATAAAGGGTGATTAGAGAGCCAGAGAAGAGGAATTCAGAAATGCAGTATAGTAGTATATGATACATGAAAGATGTGATTGTTAATCTAATCTTTAAAACAATTAACTAACAAAATCTCAATTTAAAGTAGGCAGTTTATGGTTCTAATTGATTCTTTAAGTTCCCATTTTCAGTGAAGAGAAAACAGTAACACATTGAAGTGAATTAACAATAGCATCTAAGTTTGCCAGTTCTTGATTCTCACTGAAAACTATGCTTAATTTGCTGGCAAGGTGAATCCCATTTACTTCACCTGCAAAATGTATATTGCAATTTTTCTTGAACAAAAATAGCGCAAAGGGAATTGAAATTGATAAAGCAGGTAATAACAGATAATTTCTCAGCAAAATAAAGGAACAAACTTGTGTCAATTGCATACCTGTACTGTAGACCCTTGCTGCTGTCCTTGTGCAAGTGTTTGTCCCAACTGGACTGAAGTCCCTGGAGCAAATATGGTGGTAAAAGCTCCTCCAGGCATAGCTTGCACAGAATATGAAGACTGAATGGACGTGTTCTTGTTACCACCTTGCTGTTGGATGTTAGATTGTGGGATGTAGGTTGTGATGGGGAAGGAATGTCCTGTTGCCGGCAATGCTGTAATACCCGTCATGGATCCACTTGCCCCTGATAACGAACCCACTGTCAGTCCCTGATTAGTGTCTATTTGTTGGGATGTGAAAATGCCACCTCTATCCTAGGAAAATTAAGAGATTTTCTTGTGAGAAAAGACATAAAATTCATGGGTATGAATGAAGAAAACTTGTTTCTTCCACCCTACAATTTTATACAATACTGAAAAGAAAAACGTGCAAACTTGGGAAGATACTTAAATAATATATTCATTACAAGATAATGCAATAAAATTGAAGCCAACCTTATGTACAGTTAACATACTTTTCTCATTAATTTATCTATGAAAAATCATTATCAGTCAGTCAATCAATAACTTAATAAAAATGTCAGTGATACATAGTTAAAGATAAATCCTCTACTAAATGAGAACACTAAAATAGAATTGGACTTGAAATTCTAAAATTAACAAACACCATACCTAAATATTTTGATAAAATTAACAAATGCCCCACTTAAATATTATGATAAGAGGTTTGAATTTTACTAAAAAATAAATTTAAATTTATTTGTTTATGCATGATATTGTTTTTCTATTATCCATCAGTTCCTGGTTTGTATTCCCCTAGATGGTAATTTTTGTTTTAAAAATTCAACCACAATATCTGCAACGTTTTGCGACAGGTATGTTGTCAATAACCTGTTAATGCAATGGAAAATTACTAACGAACAAAGAGAAGACATAAAGATGATTGTAGTAATTGAAAATTTTCAATGCAAAATTTAAACTCCTAATTCTTCTCTCTAAGAGGCACAGATATTGTAAACTTGCATAGAACGGCGTCAAATAGGGTTTACAATATGTCGCAGAAATTATTCAGACACAATATAAAAATACGTCCGCGCGGTATGAGATTTATAAAGAATTTCAGCTTAAGAAGTGCACAGTATACTAGAGATTTCAACAAAAAAGTCGATGATACGTTTTGTTGAGAGAATTCTGAATTCGACGATACGATGACGAGCGTGGGAATCTAGCTTGTCCGAAAATTATCCATATAATGAGAATATCAAATTACAACGCTCGAGCGAAATTAAAAACGAAAACTTTCATCACTGAGTCTTGGAAATTAATTCCACCTAAATTATTGTGATCACATTATGAAATGCAAGTATTTGCGTCTGAAAGAGGATTCCCCAAACAAGGCGAACGAGAGGGTTTACTTTGGTCTCCAAAAATGGGCAGGAAACGTACCAAAGAAGGAAACGGGTGCCATATATGGTTGGAATGTTTTAAAGGACGCGGAGTTTGAAAACTTTACGCGAACATTTTGCCGCGAGAGTAGTATATAAACACGGTAAAATGCAAGGTAAATGTAAGCTTTGCGCAAAAACACAAGGCTGATGGCTTCGAATCGCTCAAAAAATGCTCCTACAAAGAAAATATCCTACTAGCAATTTTTCTTTGCCGTACTTTGAGAGCGAGATGAAATAGATTTGCCTTATGTTTGGATCTGCCAGGTCATGGAGAGGAAAAAAAAACATTGAAGAAAATTCTCCAAAAATTTTATACAAAAATAGCAAAATTTTCAGTCATACTCTCTGTGTCATTTTGTGTTCTCTTGTGTATGCACAATTCGATGAATGAAAAATAAAGACTATTCAAAAGATCGGTCTACTTCAAACTATAAATCTTACCTGCATCTTCTCGGCGTCATTTTCGTTCACGGTGTAAGTTAGATCTGTTTCTTCGTATCCCGTCGCTGACATTCTTTGGTCTGGGTTCGGAATCTGAGAAACAGGAGGATCGGGAGAGTTCAAGCACGTTTGAATGAGAGCTTTTCCGCTCTCTGAAGTAATCATGGGTTGAAGTTTTCTTGTGGCGAAGGTGTAAACATGCCCTGTTTCGGAAGCTACCAACAGCATCACCTGCGTTCCGGTCAGGGTGCTTAGTTCGTAGGCCTTTAAAATAAAAAATAAAATAAAATAATAGGGTAAATTTTACAAGAAAGCATTCTTTTAACATTAAAATTTGCTAACGAAATATTTAATTCGCATACCAGTTGCGAGAGGTGTGCACGAACCTTTTTCATAATCCCTGTTTTTCTTTTGCTAAACGTCGTGTACCTCCTCAACTTGTTGGCAATAAACTTCATTTCGATTTTAACACGTCCTCGGGTCTTTTTCTTAGGTCTTTCCTCCACCAACATGCTAGAATCAGCGTCACCGTCGTCGTCGCTTTCCGTCGGTCGTTTCAATCCATGTGCATCATGATCGCCAGCCATTGCTGCTTCGAATTCTCCTTCTTCAATCGAGGACGGATCAAGAACTCCGCTTCCTTGAGATTGAGCTCCGTAATGCATGTTGTCTAGTTCATCTGTTGTTGTTGTGGAATCTTCGCTCTGCATTGTGCTTGTTGTAGGATGGCCTTTTATGGAGTTCGCAACTTGAAAACCTGTTGCCTTTTATGTCGCTTCTTTGCTTTCCAAAAAAGAATGTGGGTGGACCAATATGGCGGACTGTGTCACCTGAGGGTTTGATCACGTGTTCAAGTGCGTTGATCCGGAAATGAAATAAATAGGGTAAAACTACTACTGAAGCATGAAATAACATGTGAATGCTTTGACTTCTTTTAATTCTGATAGAGTTCTTGCATGGGGGAATAAGAAAAACAATCAAGAACTCTTTAAGACAAGCCCAAACATGGGGATGTTTCCTCAAAGCAGGCAAAATAAGCACCCTTAGAAAGGGAACAAATATTAGATGCCCTTTGACGTAATCAAGCAGTGTATAAAATAGACTTCTCTCTGATCATTAAAGACGTACTGACCCTTCTTCCTGGTTACTGTGAACAACAAACAAATGAAGCCGAAAACATTTCATTGTATCACTTCATTTACACGTCAGATTTTATTCTGAGGTCAAGGTTCTTTCATAATTACATAATCCTTCTGTTAGGCCATCAATCTAAGCTGAAAATCGAAAGAGAAGTTTCTGTATTTCAGTTGTATTCGGTTCAATTACTCCAGTTTCTAGAAATAGCAAAGCAAATAAGAAGTGTTATAGTTGGGCACTGTTGGGGCACTTGACAAACTTGTAGCACACTTCCTACATACTTCCCCACCGGAAGCCACTCCCGAAAAACTCCCAATAACATCTTACCATTTTCTGCTCATACTTGATGTGGAGCAAGTTGACGTGAAGTTTTGAGACTTCTCAAAAAAAAACCAGACGAGTAATGTGCGCAGTTTGGGGGAGGAGGAGGTTACTTGTGAGCATAAAGTCACCAGCTTAGCGAGTCTGAGGTTTTGTCCGGTATGCGCTGAAGGGAGTACGGATTGGTTTTTGACGTCTTTTAGGTTGTGTCGCTGTGGTTGAAGCTTGAATTTTGTCCAAGCCTTATTTTACAGCTCTTAAGTAGTGACAGGAGAAAAAAATGGGATATTACTTTCTCTTGGCGGTGAACACAGCTCGATTGTCTCTTTTCCATTACACTACAAATTCTTACTTGACATTTCAGTTGAAAAACATATTTTAGCTTGCAGATCGGTTTTTATTTTATAAAGATTTTTGTTTTCTTCGGTCAAGCTTGAAACACGAGTCATTTCCTTTTAGTCTGTGTCGCTGCGGTTGAAGCTTGAATTTTGTCCAAGCCTTATTTTACAGCTCTTAAGTAGTAACAAGAGAAAAAAGTGGGATATTACTTTCTCTTGGCAGTGAACATAACTCGATCGTCTCCTTTCCATTACACCACAAATTCTTACTTGACATTTCAGCTGAAATATAACTTTTAGCTTGAAGATCGGTTGTTATTTTATAATAATTTTTGTTTTCTTCAGTCAAGCTTGAAACACAAGTCATTTCCTAATGAGGAAGGCGAAGAATCGCAAGCTGCTCTCACCTTTCACTCTAAAATATATGCCTGTTCTGAAAACTAAACAAATTTTCTCCCATATGGGAAACGGGATACATTGTTTTTCGTCAGTTTCGTCTCCCTCGGACATTTTCGCACATGGACTTGGCATATGGTCAAACAAAAAATTTAAAGAGAATTTTCAAGGATTATTCAGGCAATTATAAAACAAATTACAAGTCAGAGTTACATGATTTTGAACAGAAAGACAAAGGATTTCCCAACACCGCCATATGGAGCCTCCGTTCCTAAAATTCAGCGGATTTCTTCAAAAGACAACACAAGTTCCCGTATGTGCAGACGTGTGTACTTTATGTTCCTTCAAAAGAGGAAGCTGGTAGCCAGTTAAAACTGGCCACGGAATTTTGGAATTTTTCCTAGTGTTTACTGAGCGATTGCTAATACAGGTCCGGCAGATTTTGAAGATTATGTGTTAAATTTATTAGCTCAAGTTCAGCGCTAATACCCGCCTACAAGATGAGAGAAGTGGTTCTCACTGCAGCCAGCTTGGCGTTAACTGGGGCTGTTGTTGCGAATGCCTACTACCAAAAGAATCAATTTTACCCTTCTGTCGTGTACTTAACTAAATCCAGTCCAAGTATGGCGGTAAGCTGCTAGTTTTGACCGAATGAATTTATCAGGAAATCTGTCTTTTGTCGGTGAATGTAGCCGATCATCTGCTATGTATTGAAACGATGAAGCCTTACGTTTGTTTTGACATGAACTCTGTCATTCTCTCCGGTAGGTTTTGTACATTCAAGCGTTCGTGCTTGTTATTCTGTTCGGTAAAATGATGCGAAAGGTATTCTTTGGACAGTTGCGAGCAGCTGAGATGGAGGTAAAGTACTCTACATTACAAATTAATCTTTCGGTCGCAAATAGTGGGATAAAATTGGTCTCTTTGCTTAAAAGTGAGTGTATAAAAACTGTCAAGCGATCGAGTTTCTGTGACTAGTGTAAGTTGGAGGTACCATAGTAAATAAGGTTATAATTGCAAATAAATTATTTCACCTCTCTTTCCTTAAGAGAGGTTAATTAATTTACCTCCTGTTTGTCTTAAGCTTTGACTCTGATATCCCTTTTCAAGTGCCATAAATTCCTCATTCTAGTTTGCAATTTCAAATTTCATTCTTTCCTTTAGTTCACTTTCCCAAAAAGCACTCTCAAACAAACTGATCTTAACACATTCTTTTGGTTCTTTCAGCATTTGATAGAGAGATCATGGTATGCAGTCACTGAAACCTGCTTGGCATTTACAGTTTTCCGTGACGACTTTAGTCCTCGATTTGTTGCTCAGTTTACAATGTTGTTGTTTCTAAAATGCTTCCATTGGTTGGCGGAAGACAGGATTGACTACATGGAAAGAAGTCCTGTATTGACATGGTTATTCCATGTCCGAGCAGTTTTGCTTCTCATGTTTCTGGGGATGGTGGATGCAGTTCTTGTGCATGTTGCATATAATACAACTATGCAAAGTGGAGCATCAGTACAACTTGTTTTTGGATTTGAGGTTAGAATAGAGATTGATATAGCTTTTGATTATCAATAACAAGGGCATGAATAGTATTTTATAGGAGAGGGAGAGGTTATAATTAATTAAGAAGGAGGTTTTAATTATAAAGGTCTGCATGTCCTACATGAAGTGGCTTATACCAGCTTCTAATTATGTGGGATGATGAACTGGCAAATGGAGTATTTATCCCAGGAAGATATTTACACTGGACAGATTCTTGGGATTTGTACATTTTCTCAAACCTGAATCACAAGATTTACAGTGTTATTGACTCAGAAATACAAGCAGAGGTCATAATTACCTCAGGATCTTCTCCTTCCCAAATCTAACTATACCCCTGCATTACCTACTGTGGAGAAATGGTTAGGTTGCTGGATTTTGCACTGAAAGGTTCAGGTGTGAGGTTCATTTTGGCAAAATACTTTACTCTCATGCCATAAATCTTTCAGAGGGACTTTTACAGAGTGTTTGGAGAAGGAGGGTTTGGGGGGGGGGGGGGTGTAACTTGCAATGTGCTTTGGTAATTTCCCATTCTGGAGGAAAAGCAACTTTCCTTGTTGTTTCATTCTGCTGAAACCTGAATGAGCTCAGGACAGAAGTGCAAATTCTATGCAGGAAAATAATGCATATACATGCGTTAGTAAATGGGGATTTATAATTTCAAGACATGATGGTCATTTATAACAGGAATATGAACTGTGTTGAAGTGGTGACTTGCAGAACTTTACCAAAAATAATTTTTTTACCCCTCTGTGAGCTTCATCTAGGCTCCTGATTTATATTTTTTTCGCAATTTTTGTTGCAGTATGCCATTCTGTTAACAATAGTAGTAACCATCCAGATGAAATACATCCTGCACATTGTAGACCTTCGAAGTGAAAATCCATGGGATAACAAAGCTGTATATCTATTGTATACTGAATTAATTACAGGTAACACTGATTCTATTTTATTTACCAAACCCTGTTAATGTCACAAAGCAAGATATTTGGAGGTGTAACAATATTTGTGTCAAAGTTTGGCTCAAGAGGTCTAGGAATTTGACTGGATGATTTTCTCTGATCTTGTGCATTGCAATTCACAATTATGTAATTATTGACTGATTAAGGGAATCTGTTAGGAAAATAAGTTTTGGTCATGAAGTATGGAAGGGATGCAGCATGACATAGAGCAAAGTATTTTCCAGTGTCACCCAACCCATGCTGTGACTTAGACAATAAGCAATTTATAATACCACCTCCACTGTTTCACTCTCTTTCTTTCTTTTGTCATGGCATACAACCTTCATACAAGGAGTTTTGTCTAAAATATTTTAACAAAAGTGCATGTGGGTCATATTCGTTTCATGATTATTTCTTGTTATTTCTTTTGTCATAGGTTTTATCAAGAGTGTTCTTTATATTTGTTTTATGATCATCATGATCAAAGTACATACATTCCCACTTTTTGCCATTAGACCCATGTACTTGACGTTACGGTAAGTCTCTTGATTTTTCTTAAATCAAGCATTGCATCACAGAGAACCATTGTTTTTATCATAAATAAATACTGGTAACTAGGGGAAAATTCATTTGATTGTTGTTAAACCAAATTATTTGCAACAACTTATGAGAAGAAAGAAAAACATCATTGTAAACATTAAGAAATCATAATAGTTTAGTTTTCAGTGCATTAATGTCCCTTAAAAACAGTGGTGGGAATTTTTCAGACCAATCACTAAGGTTAAAAAAGGAATAACAAAATAATGTGAGGTAACTTTAAGCATTGAATTGAAAACTTCTCCAAACTGAATCAACTACCTTGTATGCATAGGAATCAAAGAAAATTTTCCTAGGGAAGTGCATAAACCAAACAACAAACATATTAACCTTTTAGCTGTATTTCCACTCCAATGATGTAATAATTTAATCCTTTAACTCCCAAGATCTGATTGTTTAGTTTTCCCTCTTGCTGCTACACAACTACTTGCAAATTAGTGGCAAGAATTTGGTGTACGATCAAGATAAGAACTTCTACCTGATAAGTTTGAGTATTCTCATTAACTGTTTGCTAAAAATAGTGAGGAAATTATAGGAAGAAGTTAAATG